ACTGTTCTAAGTCATAAAGTGAAAAAGCAATTTTTGTTACACAAAATATATTATTACCTAAAGGCTAATAATATAATTTATGCACACTTACTGAAGTTATTGTTTAAACTCATAAATTGTTATCTTAATATTTTATCCAAATGAGATATTTATGGCAATATGTTTAACATATATAATTTATATACAATGTCATACAGAAATATTATATAAACATAAATATTTATATAAGCAATGCGCATACTATTTATGAATTTATAGAATATTATAAAAATTACTTCAAAAACAACAATCTATATAATACTTTTATTTAATTAAAAAATTGTCCTTTGCGAATTATATATCATGAGTTGAGAATGGTCTATCACAGAAGTATAGACCATAAATATGTTACCTAAATTTGATGTTTTGTTTGTTGATAGTTTTGATAGAAAAAATTATACAATGTACCTCACGATTAAAACATAAAACAATAAAATGATGACACTATTTTCAAATTAAAACTTGACAAATATCATATAATGAAAACAAAATATTTTATGTCAACTAGCAAAGGTTACACCAAGAAGATAATATGATTCATAGATACTCATAAGTTAGATGCTTTTGTATATATTTAATTATTTAGTAAGAAATTTAGTTATTTCCATATAATAATATATTGTATTCATTTTCCTAGATTTTATTTAATATGTTCCAGAAACACTGAATTATTGGTCTTGTAATAAGCTGAGACCACAAAAATAACTATGAAATTAATTAATGTTATATTAGTATTTAATATTAATATTTTTTTTTTTTATTATATTTAGTATATTAAACAATTTTCAACCTAAAAATAACCATTGACATTCTATAATTTATAGCCATTAGTAGGCTTATAACATATGTTGCAAAATATGAGAAAAAGTATAGTGTTTTTAAACTAGGAATTCTACACACAGGTATAGTATATAACCCCCATAAAGCATATCAAAATGAATTATATATGCTTAAATTTAACTTATGGTTAATTACTCTATTGCATTAACAATTAGAAGTATTTTTCTGTCTCATTAAATTTCAGTACATTAAATAATAATAATTTAATTGTTATTCAGTAGGTATTATTTTGTTTTAATATATTATTATTAAATAAATTAATGGAATATTAAATTGTCCTAAATTGCAAATAATTGCTAATATAACAAGTATAGGTACATAATATAACTGTATCATAGTTATAAATTAATCATTACAACTAAAGACAAAATGAGTATTAATCAACATTTATTCCATTTTAATAATATACCTATCACTGTCTATAGAATAAAATTAATATTTATTTTTGGACACAGTAACTTTTGAAAAGAAGTAGGTACCTATTTGATATCAAAATATAAACTGTTTTATATGTAATTTAATGAAATTGTTTAAATTTATAGCTATTATAATAATTAGTAATTAACTCACTTTTAGCAGCATTTAGCAAATCTTTTAGTTCCTTTATTAAACGTTTGATTTGTTGATTAGTTTTCTGCAATTCTCTTTCATGATCATGCAGTTTTTGACGAAAATATGGGCTGTCTGTGATACAGTCAGAAAATTCGAGAGGCTGTAATCCAATAACCATTTTTGTTAATAAAAATCATCCTGAAATAAATAAAACAAATTTAATTAATAGGTTTGGAAAGAAAATAAACAAACAAATTAATAATAGTTAGTTATTGTTGATATTAATTAACTTACCAGGTGTAAAATAGTAAAATAATTAGATCAACAATATTAGGAACTCAAATACAAAATGTATTCAATTTTTTTTTTAATTTTTAAATACAAACGAAACTTTTTTTAGGAAACTAGCAAAGCAAACAACTTCCTAGCGTTATCGTGTCCAAATAGGAATTAAAAACAAGAGAGACTGATAACCTATTAACCTAAAATTCATATTAGTGTTTGTCCAACTGGTATCAACGGTTATGTTTTTGTGGTTACTGAGTGATAAATGCACACGGATACCACTGTTGCAACAGCAGGCTGCTAAAGAGCATAGATTTACTGAAATTTCATCTGATTTCATTCAATAACAAATGTAATATCAGATAGCGCTTAACAGATATCATATTATTAGTATCTATGTTTGTTCCTCGGTCCACGATACTATTTTAATTCGTCATTATTACAATATTGTACACATCATAATATTTGACAATTTTGAAAAATTCCAATAAATTAATTTTTATATTCCTGTGATAATGATTTACCCAAAAACATAATTTCAAGTTTATTGTGTATCTAATAGTTTCTTATAAATTTATAAAAAGTATGTTCGTGAAAAATATAATACCAGTATTTCTTATTTTTCCGAAATAACAAAGTTATACTGATTTCAGCCATGGATTTTCGTACATTAGAAAACGAAAATCTTCCACCTCTGTCGAGTACCCCCACCGAAGTACCGTTGCCAAAGTATCCAATCTGGACTGTTGAGTATTTTCAAAAGTACTTTGATGTCACTTCAGAAGATGTACTTGAACGTATTAAAGGAGCATTGATCCCTACTTACGGAGTCAACTACTTACAACGCTATATCCGAGCAAAACCAGATGTATATGGTCCATTTTGGATATGTTTAACACTGGTGTTTTCTATAGCCATCAGTGGAAATGTTGCGAATTACATACAAGTAGCTGCTGATCACGATTACCATTGGAAGTATAATTTTCATGCTGTATCCTCCGCAGCTACGGCAATATTTTTATATGCTTGGTTACTACCACTAATGCTATGGGCCTTTGTTAAGTACAAAGAGCCACAGGTAAGGATGGCAATCATATTTAATAATTTAAACTGTTTGCTTAATCTTATGAAAACATAATGAGAATATCATAGAAGTATACCAAATAACGAATAATTTTTTTTATATTACAAAATAAATATTATTACTTGTATAATTGTGCTTATAATTAATGTTCTCTAATAAGTATGATTATATTTGTTTGTTTGTATAGTTTAATCTTAGCTACTTGGAACTGCTGTGTTTGTACGGATACTCTCTATCAATATTTGTGCCAATTTCAATTCTATGGGTAATCCAAATCAATTGGTTGCAGTGGCTTTTGGTTGCAGCTGGCACACTAGTGTCAGGTTATGTAATTGTATTTTCAGTCATGCCTTCTTTAGGACAGAAACCATTTGCATTTATATTCTTAATAACTATTTTACATTTGTTCATGGGAACAGGATTCATGCTTTATTTTTTTCATGTCCCACCAATACAGAAGTCTTAAAAAAAAACTCATCATAATTTATGTTCATGTATAATATAATAATAATAATAATTATGTATAAATATTTTAAATATTCATATAATATATAAATGATAAATTGAAATATATATTATAAAAAAGTATGTGTCTGTTTCAAAATGGAACGACTAAATCACCCTTGTGTTCCACACTCATCAAAGATAAGTGTTTTTGTATATCGTTTACACAAACCATTATGTGACGATAGTTTTCTGGTAGTCCTATATTTCTTGACAATACCTTCTCTGGACCAGGAACATCTTTCAGTAGGCACACAGGCATTTGTCTCAAACTAACAATAGTATTGGCAACAGATGAAAGGGGTACAATTTGTAGTTTTGCACTGTAAAGGTTTTGACGTTCTATCACCTCTTGTTGGTCAATACAATTATGCAATTGGCCAACATCAATAACATTTCTATAAAAAGAAAATAAGATTAATATAATAAAAGTGACCGACAAATAACAATAATTCATGATGGTAATAATTAAAATAATACTGATATGATTTTAGTTAAATTTGATTAGGTTTTATCAACCTATTTTGTTGTACCCATTCAATATCGTAAAATGACATGCAATTATTATAATTTGATAGTGTCTAATAATGTGACGCTATTCTTGCAACTTTCATCATCTGTTTCTTTAACAGACAACTTATAAAAAAAATTTGCACGGTGGATTTCAGATTAAATATCTAAATTGGTCTAAAACCACGATTATTATTTATTCAAAAACAAAATACCATAATCTTATGCCAGTTAACTGATAATATAAACTTAAACCCTAGTAGGTAAGGTATAATGAGAAATGTTGTGAATAATTATTTTTAACATCTATAGCAATAAATTGAAATCCATAATATTATCCTCTTTCAACTTGATAGTAAGTGATCTTACTTTAAATCTCATTTGGAGAATAAATACACAGCAACGTTTGTGTAACAGTTAATATTTTTAAAGTGTCATAAAATATCATATTAATCACAAGCGAAGATAATAAATAAAATATATTATAAGAGCTTTGGTATATCTGTTGTACACATATCAAAAAACTCACGATGATATCTCTTCTAGTATACGATTTAATCCAGCTTGCTCTTCAGATTCTTTGGGCAGCGATCCATAATGATAGTCCTCAGGTATTCCACCACGTTGAACGCTTGTGTTGTTACAGTCTGGATCAATCAGCAAATGGGTTCGTTCTTGATCGACAGCCTTTTGTAAAATAATAATAATAAGCCAGGTTCTTATGGAGTTTTGTTACCCAAAATTAACAATTCCTATAAGTGCTTACGGCGTACGCGTCTTCTTCCTTGCACCAACTGCAGCACGCCCCCATGACCAATGGATAAAAACACAACGAACTCCAATGACAAATCAAATGGAACGTTATACTTTAGCACTGCACAACAATTGTATCAGACATATTAATAGTACAACCACCACACAATCGGATCCAAGTAAGGAAGCAAAGCAACTAGAATTATACGGCAAACATAATACTATTAGTTATTACTTATTACACTGGGGAAGTTAATATTATTTACAAAAGCAGTTTATGGTTTACAAATCATGAGACGAGACATTAAAATAATTCAACTATTGATAATCAAAGTTTAAACATTGGGTTATAGATAATAATATTATCTATGGTTAAAAATGACGACGACGGTTGATAGGAAAATGTGATAACTGATAAGGTACTTCGTGTCATAACAATGGACGAGCTTTAGTTCGAAATTCAAATTTCAATTTATTATTGTTTGAAAAAAAAAGGATTCTGATCGTCAACGTTTACAATTTTTTTTCTTAACAGCTGGATGGTATGTGTCACATAGAAGATATACCTAAGTTTGTATTCGAATTGAGGCGTAAAATGTTAGGTCGTTGAACTACTCAACTTACTTAGAAGACATCATAAAGATGCTCACTTAAATATGATATTATCAACCTGTTGGAAGTAAGACAAAGATAAAATGTATACACTGTTTCACGGGTTCTACAAGTATTTGACGCAGAAAGATGAGTTCTGGGTTCTCATACTCGGTTTGGACAACGCTGGTAAAACGGTAACAAAAAATCTGGTTGCCATCTCTGGCACATATTGTCAACTCTAGTCAGATTCATTTTCATAGATATTGTTATATTTTTAGACGTATTTAGAATGTTCAAAAACAAAATTCAAGAAAAACTACAAGGGTATCAACCCAAGTAAAATCACAACAACAGTTGGTTTGAACATTGGCAACATTGACATAGACAGAGTGAGCTTAAACTTTTGGGATTTGGGTGGTCAGACGGAACTACAGTCACTTTGGGACAAAGTATGAGTTTGAATTTATTTTAAAGTATTACACATGATTGTTGACAGTTGACATACACTACCTACCTATTAAAAAAAAATGACTACCTATTTATTATTTATTTGTTTATTTATTTATACATTTATTTTTAGTATTATGCCGAATGCCATGCCATTATATATATTGTCGATTCATCTGATCGAGAACGCATGGATGAATCAAAAAAAACATTTGGTATGCATTTAAAATTACTGTTACATATCAATTTATATTGGATTTTTGATTATTTAATTCTTAAATAATTGTTAAAAAATGTTATTAACAGATATGTATTTTTGTTTAATTTTTTTAATTAAAAATCCACAGATAATATATAAAATAAACTATTATAAATATTAAAATATTTTAATATTTTTTATATACTTGTTCCATATTTTTGTAATATTTTGAGTTACTCACGATGTCACAAAAATATTAAAATAGTTTTATTAAATTTTAATAGAAAAGATGATATGCAATGAAAACTTAGGTGGCATACCACTTTTAATATTAGCTAACAAACAAGACATTCCTGACTGTATGGGTGTCAGAGAAGTAAAACCAATTTTTAATCAGAATGCTCATTTAATTGGAAGAAGAGATTTTATGGTTATGCCAATATCTGCATTGACTGGGTATTTAATTATTAATTTTTTGATCAACTTTGAGTTTGCATTTTTAAATTAGTTTACTTAATAATATAATGTATTACAGCGATGGCATTGATGAAGGAATTCAATGGCTAGTTCAATCAATTCAAAGAAATATAGAAGTGCGTCCTCCAAAAAATGCTGAGGATTATTGAACTTGTGAATAAGATATTTCAACTATAAATCTTAAGTTATTGAATAAATTATTTTTTTATAAAGCAAAATATGAATAAATGTGTTTGAATTTATTGGATATTCAATTATAAATCATAATACTATGTACCTGTATTGTTATGTATTTGATAATATTTTAATTTGTTTTGGAGAGAAATGTTTATTACCTAGTTCATAGAAAATTATTTTTATTTTGTATTCCTGACAAAGATTATGCTTAGTGATAAAAAATAACTATTCATTATTTTTTTTTAATTAGTGGATCATAATAAGAGAGTGCATTTTTCTCATATTTATTGATTCTGTGTAGTTCAATGGGGGTGAAAAATGTAGACGACTTTTCCACTTCAAAATTTGTAGAAAAAAATGAATTTTGTATATAAAAGTATATTTTGGAGATGAGAGAATATCCAACCTATACCTATAATATTTTCATATTCAAAAATATATTGTATAAATTTAAATTTAAAAAATAAATAAATCATATTTGTACGTTTTTGAAGTTGTAATTATTTGTTGTCGAAAAAAAATGTTTCATTTAAAAATTAAAAATAATAGAAATCGCTCAATAACTTGTTTATAGTTACACTAGACATTGTTTAATTTGTTACAAATTTGGCTGTGTTTAAATTTTTTAAATGAAATTATTGATTTTTTTTATTTCATTAAACATGTATGTATTAATCATAGTTCCAGTAGCATAGTGAAGACGTTTTCGAGGTTTCTGAGTTTTTTAGTGGTTTGGGTAGCAAGGGGCTCATGATTAGTCAAGGATCTGGCCATCTGGGGTAAAAATTAAAATAAACACCTAGTAGTTTTACAAAGAGCTGGGACCCCCC